TCTGTTGATTTATTGATTTTCTCATAAGCCCACATTCCGAGAGTATGATTTGTTAAGGGTCTACTTTGTGCAGGGTGCTTTCTTAAACCAAACATGAGTCAAGAGAATGGATTCCTTTCTTAACATCGTATCAGAAATTAAGGAGATTATGGAAGAAGTAGATAGGCTCGTGTTAAATTTGCATCTTGTACCGTGGCCTCCCGTTGGGGCTCATTAGTTAGTCCAGAGTCTTTTTGGTGAATATGAAACTAAAGAAGAGGTCATGGCAACCCTCATTTGCTGAAATATTCTGCTATACACAGAGAATATCTCCAGTGCTTACCTTTCTTATGTCTTCAGCTTCAGACTCTCCCCTAGACAAGTTGTTATCGTTAGGTGCTGTTGAGTCGATTCCCACTCATAGCAATCCTGTGTACAACAGAGCAAAACACTGCCCAGTGCTGCGACATCCTCACGATTGTTGCCATGTTTGAACCCATTGTTGCAGCCACTGTGTCTGTCCGTCTTTTTGAGGGTCTTCCTCTTTTTTGCTGACCCTCTACCAAGTAAAGTCACCTTCTCCAAGGACTGGTCCCTCCTGATAACATGTCCAAAGTACAGAGACAAAGTCTCGCCACCCTTGCTTCTAAGGCGCACTCTGGCTATACTTCTCCAAGACAGATCTGTTCATTCTTCTGGCAGTCCTAGGCAAGTGCTGAGCATAAACTGCTAGATTTGCTCCCTTGAACCCTTTCCTATACTCCATTGCTGTCAAGGCCCGCATTTCATATATGGTCCTTCTTTACATGTGTCAGTAGTACCAGGCAGTTGTTCCCTGTGGACCTGGGAGACATTCTCTCTTCCCATTGTGTATTTAATTTCCTTTTTCTCTTTATCTTAAAGTTTCTCTGTACTGTTCACATGATGTTTTGGAGACAGTGTAAGACGCTACATGTAGCATATTTCATTTATGAAAGCAGTTGACTGTCATTGTGTTCCGTCTAGTAATTTATATGCCAAATCTCATTTTGAAAAATTACAACATTTTTTTTTTAAGCCTTTGATTGTGCTGTAAGTTTTTGCATTTAATGTTTTTTGATATAAGTGGACAGTCAGCTACAACTTAAGTTTCCATTTGTCATGTGTTAGCCAGTCTACTATAATGGGGAATTTAAGTTTTGTTTTAGTGTCTTAAAGTTGTACTTTATTTCTGCAAACCCTGTAATTGAAGTAGAAGAGAAAGAAAGGAAAGGAATTATGAAGAGATTTGGCCTATAATTGTTTTTTCTTTTCCCAATGTATAGACTTTTTTTTCATATTTTAACATGTCTGGAAGCAGGATGTATTTTTAAATTTATTGGTATATTTACTCTGTATATTTAAATTTAAAGATTTTTTTAAATGCATGTTATTTAATATATTCAAGTAGCTCCCGAGAGGCTGTTAGTAAGTTGATAGTACATCTTTTAACCAGTGATATTTTATAATGAAGAAATACAGTAAGTTTTAAATTAAGGTAACTTAGTTGTAGATAAATAAAAAGTAATTAAGTATTTGTTATCAATTGTTATTCCTCTGTTTTAGGAAGCTCCCCCTTCTCTCCTCTGTGAAGTAAACACTAAAGCCAGGCTGACCTGTCTGGGAGTGTGGTTGGACAGAGTGACAGACGCAAAGGAAAGCCTTCCTCCAGCTGCAGAGCCTTCTCCTGGTAAATGAAGTTGGTCATTTTTTCAAATTTGAGTAATCTGTTACCTCTTGAATTGGAAGTTGAAGTGGAGATTCGGATAACTTTGCTTTGTTGTCAGCCTGTGTTCATTCCATTGAAAGAGGGAAAAAACAGTCTTTAAACACACTGTCTCTTGTGTTTCAGTAAGTAAAG